CAGCATATGACCAGTATTGACATACAGTAGCTTGGTAGGCCTAAATAAGCAGCTACAGCTCTGCACAGCTTAAAATCGTGGCAGATTAATTACTATTATTAATAATATTTATTATTCATAATATTTATTATTATCGGCGACTTTAAACCTTATAAATAGTTTGAACATTAACACTGCTGTGCTTATGTATAAAAAAAACTAAGAAAATAAAATGTTAATGTTTAAATTTAAATGTGCTTTTAAAGGTTAATTAAATATGGTAGACGACTGTTCTTAAAAAGTCAAAAAAAAAAAAACTCCTGTATTTAAATGTAAAGTCTTAACCTATAGCAGGGTTTTTCAAAGTCTAAGACAGTGGGCCTCCCTTTTGACACAATTTATCCATTGGCGCCCCCCTCCTCCCAAACACACACGCACGCACGTACGCACGCATATATATATATATATGACAGTACACAGTATATATAGAGACACAGACAGATGTCAGACTGTTAACTCACTTTTATCATCATTTGCATGAAAGTGCAATTATTTACAGAGTAATAACATATATTTTAATATAACGTTTTTAAAACTAGGATGATGGTTCAATATGAATAGAACAGATCCAAGAACTGTCCATTCCAGTCAAAACAGTCGAAGTTTAGCGGGTCTCATGCTGTCATTAGCCAAAATATCTTGACAAACCACACTTAAAGGTCGTGGTTCATCAGCTGGTCCTGTCCACGTAAATCCTAAACTCAAATACTGATCATCATATCGTCGTCTTTTGGGTTTAAACCCTGAACTTGAAGGCTTTTGTGGTGAGGGGGCGTGGCCGAGAGCCGTGGGAACAGAGTGAGGCCACCGCGTAAGTGGATATACCTGCGGTGCGCACCTGCCTCGGATCCCACAGAAGGAGCTCTGGATCATAAAAGAAGGAACGAGGGCAGAGGAAGCCGAGAGAGGACCGGGCCCGGACATATTGTACTTTTTGTTTTAGTTTAGACGGCAGCCTCCGTGAGGAGCAGCCGTTACTGTTATTAATGAATAATTTTAAAACTGTGTTGGTTCTCCGCCTCCTTCTTCCCGGCGGCTAAAGGGCCGTGAACTTCATTACAGCTTTGAATCGGGGGGTCTCAGAAACCGACCCATTGTATTAGCAGGCATACCTGTATTGGCGGGCTTGCCAAACAGAAGCGAATTCACAGCTATGGCCTTCTGGTTAAAAAAGGTTTTCTTATATTTGACATATTAATTTTTTTTGCTTTGTTTAATTAAAACGTTTAAATATAATAAAAATACATATAATAATTAAACTTAATAGTTATATTTTTATTATATTATATTTTTTACTGCGCCTCCCCTGACATGCTCTGGCGCCCCCCAGGGGAGGCGCGCCTCACACTTTGAAAACCCCTGACCTATAGTATAAAAGCCTGGAAATGCTGCTTGGACCTCATAAATATAGGCTATATGTCATCATAATCATATATGAGCCATTTTTGATAAAATTTTAAATATAAGTTGCATGTACATATGGCATATTGAATTACTCTGCATACCACTGTCCTAAAGTATATAAACAGCATAATGTGTGTGCAGATATTCATAAACATGCTCAGCGAACATTCTTGTGTATCTGAAACACAATGCTGAAGTCAGATATTCTGCTGTGAACATGTGTGTTACATGCTGGAACGGCTGTCTTTGTTTTAGTCATGTAACTCACCCAATGTCAGTTTAGCCAATTATATTTCAGCAGCCCGGGTTGCCAGATGGTGGAAAACAGCGCATTTCCTTCATTCAGTCAGAAAGGCTCTTAAAGTGTGCGTCTGTGACTGAAGTGTGACCTCTGGTGGACAGTAGCAGACTCTGAAATGAGACGCAGATTCAGAGTTCCACATGAGGTGTTTATTAATTAGCAAATAATATGAATATTACGAGCGTAAATATTAGGTGAGCAGGTTACATTGTAACCCCGTGTCCTAACAACACGCTACATGATGAGATACGCATTGATGAGCAGTTTGGCTGTTTGCAGCAGATGAAACACGACAGAGATGTAAACACAGCCATTCAGAAGCACAGTATAGTGCACTCACTGCACTCCAGCACAATGCTGAGCTTTATAATCTAATGAACACACATTAAAGCTCTTTAACATGATTAAATGTAGATGCTGAATCACTGATGTGTGTTGGTTTGCACTGAGTCTCTAAAGTTCAGTTTCAGACGGTTTATTCTATTCTACAGGTCTGAGCTGAACTATCTGCTGCTGCTTTCAGTAGTATGGCAATAAACGTCATGTCAAACAGCATTCAGACTCGCATTATTAGCATTTAACACTGAATAAAGCACATGAGCTGCACCTGAGCTGATGATTAGCTGTTTCCATCCAAAAATTAGAATTAACTTTTTGCGCAAAACTGGATTATCACATAAAAGACGTGTGAATAAAGCAGCGTTTCCATCCAATGAGTCGAAGCGAACAAAATCGTTACTTTTTTTATCATCACATGATCTCTTATAACAAAATCACATGACCTTTTTTTAATGCGCATACTGGAAGTTGTTCGGTAAAAGTGTTTCCATCTTAGTTATGTGCATCTTTTCTTATTGAGACTGCCCGTGACCCACAAGCTCACTACTGCCACCTGCTGTGGCGCCCAGTGAGCTTCGAGCGGTGATAGTGCTCACTACAGAGTGGTGTGTGTCAGAATGGTTCCCGTGCTGTCGTGAGTAATTGTGTAGTGGACCCGGAATGGGTTCACTACCAGGTGTGGGCTACTTCACACTTATCAAATGAAAAGTTTATCCTACTCAGTTATATGCATATGTTTTTAATGTGCATTTGTTTTTAACTAATGCGCATCTTGTGTTTCCATCAACCGTGTTTTAATGTGCATATGCAAAATGTGCATATAAATAGGTGGATGGAATCGTAGCTAATGTTTAGCTGTGAGAAACAGAAGCCGTTTCTATTATCTGAATTTCAGGTGTTGGTTAGGACAAAAACTCTGCTTAATATGGAGAATACTCCATCTATTGTGTGTGTCTGCTTTTATTTAGAACACGACTTAAATCAGCCTTTAGGCTCGAAAGTCAGAATCGCTGCTGTTGGTCCTCAATCTGGCAACCTGCACTTGCGTCTGTTGTGATCCAGGAGTGCAATACCTAGTTCAACCACTGGGTTTCAAACTTACATACTGCAAACAGTAATATGCGAGATTTTGCTTTTGTTCTGTCGATTTTGTGTGATTGTCTTGATTCATTCTATGTGATATGAAACATGCAATACATTTTCCTAAATTAATAATCATGTGGACGATTTTCAATTACCTAAAAAAGCAGTAAAGCCTCATTTGGCTCATGCTTAAAAAAAAAAGGCATGTCTGTAGGACACGTTCAGTGAAAACAACAAACGAACAAGGCATTCACGCTGCTTTTTTTCCTGTCAAACAAGGACTCATATTGTTTTGGAGAATGCATGAATGGCTTCTGTGTAGTTTCCTCTCCTGTCTTTACAGATAAGCCTTCACTAATTACCATGCTGAATCCAAAAGCAGAGCGTCTGAATCCTGCGAGCATTCACAGTTCATGCTTCCAAAGTTTTCCAGCGGTTATTTTTACATAGCAGCTAATGCGAGAACACACGCGGGACTCTGAGGTGCTGGTGTGTGGCTTCTTTTTATGTGCTCGAAATTAGGGGAGAAGATTCTGACGGTATGATGATAACCTTGGATATAAACATCACGGTATTGTGATTTCTGCTCTATAATAAGATATCTTTTAATGTCTGGCTAAAAAAACAACAACTTTTTTCCCTGTTAAACACAATATATTTGATTTTTTTTATATTTTGGAGCAGTAAACATGTCAGGCTGAATAATTAAAGTTAATCTTTGACTTCTGCTGTCTTTATTAGTTTCAGAAACACATATTGAAAAGGCATCTTTGGAGATCTTTCTTTTTCGTGGATGTAAAGTAAAGCCACTAAACTGTTCAGCTCGACAGACGCCCTTCCAGTTGCAACCTAGTACTGGGAAACACCCATACACACTCATTCACACATACGTTCATACACTACGGCCAATTTAGTTAATCAGTTCCCCTATAGCGCATGTGTTTGGATTGTGGGGGAAACCAGAGCACCCGGAGGAAACCCACACCAACACGGGGAGAACATGCAAACTCCACACAGAAACACCAAGGCTGCGTCCGAAACCGCCTACTACTCAGTAGGTACTGCATTTGAATGTAAGCGTACTACTCGGCTGTTAGAAAAGTACGTCTATACAGTATGAATGTGAAATGTATGAATGGAATTCGTACTACATCCGCTATTTAGTCATGGTCACGTGACCTACCTGCGTCAGTTGCGTCGCTTTACTTCCATTCATGAATTCTCTCACGGGGCATTATAGGATAGTGCAGTGTGCATGGGATGCGCACTCCAGAATCTCGCCGGAAGTAGTAAGTCATCCGGGTACTTCTCGCATACTGATTTTCAAATTCTATGAATTTGGACATACTACTCGGCTCGCATACTGATTTTAGCGTACTATATAGTATGGAAGTATGCGGTTTCGGACGCAGCCCAACTGACCTAGCCGGGACTGGAGCCAGCGACCTTCTTGCTAACCACTGAGCCACTGCATTAATGTTTTTTGGGGAGTCTAACAGTATTCAAGTAAAATCTAATGGTCATCATTGTATAAATAATATCATCTTTATCTTTTAATCTCTAATAAATAATCTTTATTCTGTGTCTGATATCCTTGATCCTATATCCATGTGACTATTGCAGATACACTCATTGTGATATACTGTTCAGGATACAGTAGGAACAGTATCCTCAATTTTGCCGGTTTTAAAACCCTGACTTTTCCAAATCGAGGTAAACCTTGAAACCAGTGATCGTCACATGACTACTCAAAATACGACTCGACAAATTTTGGGTCTACTCTTGGGTTTCTTGTCTTGTTCACGTCTTTGCTCACTAATTCTCTTCCTTACAGGTATTACGTCTGTGTGGTTGTGCTCATCTATTTTCTGCCTCTGCTGGTCATGGGTTGTGCTTACCTGGTGGTGGGATGTTTTCTGTGGGCGAGCGAGATTCCTGGAGACTCTTCAGATCGGTATCGAGAGCAGCTGATCGCCAAACGCAAGGTCTGTGACGTCAGTCCTATAATCCGCTTGTTAAGTGGTGACGTGTTTGTGACGTATGTAATACTGTTTCCGGGTCCAAGCCGCCACTCATCTGAGTGGAGAAATCATTCGTTTATGATCACGTTTTATTCCTATCCCACATTAAAGTTAATTTTATATAAAATCGTAGTGTACACAACAATCTCTGGGCTCGCTGCATAACAAATACCAAAATTTTAACAATTTATAAAAAAATTCATCACTTTCTGGCCATCGGATATTAGGCATGGACATATATATTGCCATCGTGATTTTCGAAAGCCTTAAATCACTTTGTAAACGTTTATTATTACCATTTCATGAGTCTCCCCATTCAGTTGAATAAAGCGCTTGGACCCGGAAGCCGCTTCACGTGAAAAATGGCACACCTTGTTAAAAATATTAGCTTAAATTACTCTATACTGAATGCTTGTGGGATGCCTGATTCTGATTGGCTGATAAGCACTCGTTAACTCGTGTACGGTTATTATCAGGTAAATGCACAGATAAAGTAGTTCCGGCAGGTTTTGTGCGCATTACAGCTCCATATCATTACACTGAATGATTTCAGTTATTTCACAGCTATGCTAATGGTCTGATTCAATGATAATGCTAAGCTAAAAGTGCTCCCATCAGATCTGGTTATATTTCTGTTGAATGCTTGATTCTGATTGGCTGAAGAAGGTTTATTCTAAGGTGTGCCGTTATTTTCAGATAAACGCACAGATAAAGTAGTTCCAGCAGGTTTTGAGTGCATTACAGCTCTATATCACTCTGCTGAATGATTTAGTGACTTCACAGCTCAAAAATCACTTTAAAACAGAGTGAGAAACTAGTCCTATACACAGGAGCAGTTCAACAAGTGCCTGAAAATACAATATCTGAACAGTGGAGCGGCTGTGGAGACCAAAGAAAAGCTAAACAATTTTAAATAATCCTCACCATCTCGGTTGTGCATTGTTTTCCAATTAATTAATGGCCTATCATCAATTATTCCTTGCAGAAACCAAGTAAAACATGCCCAATGAAACTTCTCAATGAGATATGTTTTGCTTGTCTAGAAAATGCTTCTTGATTTAAGAATTTTTAGATATTTGGACTAGAAACAAGACAAAGGCAATAAGTAAGAAAACATTTTTTTTTGCAGTGAAGACATAGTAAATTTAGGACGGACGCCCCTTATTTTTAAGATTTTCTCCTAAATCTGCAAGTTATGAGCTGCTTTTAGCCTTTAGATGTTTTGTTAACACACCCCCAGACTTTTACTTCAGATGCTATCTTCTGTAGGTGGTGAAGATGATGATCGTCGTAGTGTGCACCTTCGCCGTCTGCTGGCTCCCCTATCATGTCTACTTCATAGTGCACCAGTTTCTTCCACACTTGTTTGAGGAACGCTACATCCAGCAGGTCTACTTGGGGATAATGTGGCTTGCTATGAGCTCCACCATGTACAATCCCATCATCTACTGTCTTCTCAACGACAGGTAAGAGTTGTAAACATTCTCAAGTCAAAATTATTCTGATACTTTTTCACTTAAATTCAATTCAACTCAAAGAGTTTTTGTGTAGCGCTTTTCACATTAACGTTTTAAAGCAGCTTCACAAAAGGTGCACATTATTGCATTACAAACTGTATCAGACAGATTAAGGTTATTAGCTACCATAAGTTTATTAGTCACAAACAACTTTAACTAATTAACTAGAAACCAATTAAATTACTAATAATTAGATAACATTATTGTTATATATGCATAATTAACCTGCAGTTATATAGCATATCGTTATACTAGTGCATGCAGGAAATTATCAGCCTGATCTCATGAGGAAACACAAGTATTTTACGTTTTGTCAGTTTAGTGGCTAATTTGTACGTATTCGAGTTGAGATGTAGGAAAATGTACGATTTCAAAAAGGAGGTGTGGCACCCAACCGTCATTGGGTAAAGGGCAAATCGTACTAAATTGTACGAATTAGATTGTACAAATTCATACCACTTAGCCACTAAAAGTTAAGAATTGCCGTAAGATTGCGTTGGAAATTATAGTTAATTAATGTAAGTGAGGACAGCAAAACAAAAGTAAACGGAGACATAGCTAAAGATCCTCCATATAGTCCATTACCAGTAAAGTTTGAATGCAAAAATCATTCAGAAACTTTAACCCGATCATGTTTTGCTTAAGTGTTTTTTTTTTTATTGCTAATATGTGTTTTTTCTTACACCATAGATTAGGCTGAACAGAATATAAGCAATTCTTTTGACTGGTTAACCTTAATGGGTATTATTTAATTTTATATAGAAATGTAACAGCTATTGTAGTAGGTCCTCTAGGCTAGTTCTCAACAGCTAGTTCTTATAACAAATTTAGGTTGCCCTATACAGAACATCTGGGTATATCAAGTCAGTCTAACAATTAGAAAATAATTAGTCAATTCCATGAGTGTAAAACCCCGGAGGACAACAGGCCAATCAGAACACAATGCAGACTGTTGTGTGACTCACAGGCCACACCCTCATCATTTGCATGTAGTTTAGGTCGTTCATTCTGACCTGACGACCAGACGCAGCATAAGAAATACACAGACTGATATATAGCTCTGGGATAATTATATGGGCTTTGTTTGATAAGCAACATGAGACAATAATGATAATTTTCCTCCCTTATTTTATCTTAAAATTATATTCCACTTACTATGTAAGCGGGACTTTTATTTTGAAAACGGGAGAGTCAGATTGTTTACTATGTGTCACTGAGCAATGACTGCAGAAACATGTTCAAAATCGCTTCAGAACGCAAAATGCAGGATATACGGATTATACATTTATTCATCAGCTCCACTTCGAAGAGGCGTAAGCTGCACCTCAGAGCTCATTATAATTCACTACACAATCCAAATATGGTCAAATATGGACCTTCTGACTCTCGTTTTGAACAGATGACCCTCAAGGCTTTTTTCTAACAAAATTATGTTATTGCCCTATAAAGAAAATCTGGATATATCTAGTCATAGTCTAATAATTAGAGACCAGTATATAGAAATGGCTGTATACGGTGAGTCTCAGACACCTTTTCCTCTTTCTCATGTAAATTCCATGAGTGTAAAACCCCTGAGGACAACAGGCCAATCAGAACACAATGCAGACTGTTGTGTGACTCACAGGTCACGCCCTCATCATTTGCATATAGTTTAGGTCGTTTATTCTGATCTGACAAGCAGCCGCATCATATGAAGAACACAGACTGATATGTAGCTCTGGGATCAATAATAAGCTGCGTTTGGTAAGCAACAATGTTTCCTAATTTCCTAATGAGACAACAATAATTTTCCTGCCTATATTTAACTTATTATTCATGTGGGACTTTTATTTTGAAAACGAGAATTAGATTGTTTATTATTCGTTACTGAGCAATGACTGCGGAGACATGTTCAAAATCGCTTCAGAACGCAAAATGCAGGATATACGGATTATACATTTAATTATCTGCTCCATTTCGAAGAGGCGTAAGGTTTCTTTATTTGTGTCTTTTGTTAATTTATTGTGTTTATTGTGAAATTTAATACGTATTTTTCAACAAATATGTATGTGGGACTTTTATTTTAAAAAACAAAAGGCTCAGATTGTTTACTATGTGTCACTGAGCAATGACTGCAGAGACATGTTCAAAATCACTTCAGAACGCAAAATGCAGGATATACGGATTATACATTTAATTATCTGCTCCACTTCGAAGAGACAAAAGGTTTCTTTAATTGTGTCTTTTGTTAATTTATTGTGTTTATTGTGAAATTTAATACGTATTTTTCAACAAATATGTATGTGGGACTTTTATTTTAAAAAACAAAAGGCTCAGATTGTTTACTATGTGTCACTGAGCAATGACTGCAGAGACATGTTCAAAATCACTTCAGAACGCAAAATGCAGGATATACGGATTATACATTTAATTATCTGCTCCACTTCGAAGAGACAAAAGGTTTCCTTAATTGTGTCTTTTGTTAATTTATTGTGTTTATTATGAAATTTAATACGTATTTTTTAACAAACACATGTAGACTGCTGGATCGTGTCAAATTACTCAGCTTAACTGTCATATGCTCATGCAGAGGTTGCAATTAATTCCTACCTGTATTTCTTTGACAGCTTAAAAAAACAATGCGAGACATCTCTATTGGTCTTTTGTCAAGTTTAATTATAATTTAGCCTTTATCCACATCTTGTGAGCTAAATAGGTTAATGTTACTCTGATGGGTTTATTTTTGTTCATGTTCAGCGTACATCAGTGTGTGTGTGTGTGTGTGTGTGTGTGTGAGAGAGCTGCACTTCGTAGCTATTCATGACATGATCCAAATATGGTCAATTATGGACTTTCTGACTCTCGTTTTAAACAGCAGATGGCGCTCTAGGCTTTTTTTAACAGCAGAAAGTGCTCTAGGCTAGGGTTTAACAGTAGATAGAGCTCTACGTTTATTTAGGCTGTTTTTTATCAGGATATGGTGCTCTATGCTGGTTTTTAACCTTACATTCATATGGGTAAAAAAAGAGAGTGTTTGGCTTTTGCCACAAGATTTATATAAACAGCTCTTTATTAATTGCTAATTTTAGGAGGTGCAGAATCAATTTCTCAAATGATTTTTAAAAAACTGAATAATGCAATACAACTGTTATTTTATATTATAATTGTAGTCTACCTGTACAGGTTTCGAGCGGGATTCCAGCAGGCGTTTTCCTGGTGTCCGTGCGTCCCTCAAGGCTCATATGAAGGTCTGGAGCTCAAGTCTACTCGCTATCTTCAGACGCAGGCCAGCATCTTCAGGGCCAGCCGAATGGAAACCACAGTATCCACAGTGATGCCAACTGGAGACGGAGAACTTCCAGAGAATCCAAACCGAAGCTCCGTAGATCTCACGTCCAATGGCTCTTCTCGAAGTGCCTCAAAAACCGTCTCCGAGTCCTCCTTCTATTCCAGTAACAACGTAGCATAGAAAGAAACGTAGGAAGTATTTGTAGTATTATTTTAGATGTTAGTTTTAGTCTTTGTAGTTTCAGTCTAAAGAATATCTACTAGCTAGTGAGCTCCAAAACGGTGGCAAAATTTGCATTTAGAAGATATAAACCTGATATAAACATCTAAAGTTTGCAGTTTGCATTTTCCGCTTAAATAGATCAAGGATCTTTTTGATCACCTCATACATACATAAATCTAATGGCCAATCAAATGCTATCTAGTATCTGACATGCCCCGCCCCTTCTTCTCATTGGTCGTTCGTTTGATTTGCTTGAGGTCTGGCAGAGCTCACTGGCAGAGCTATGAGAAAACCTAAAACCTATTGGCTGTTTTTTAAAAAGGGAAGGAGCTGTTCAATGTCCCAATACAATACAGACACACTGTGTAGATTGTAAAAGATTAGTCACAGGTCTTAAAAATGCAAAATGTTCACACTATTAGAGCCTATTAAATTAGGTCATGTTATATCAGCCCTAACATGACATTGCAGATCCTGCAATGTGACTATTGCAGATTCGACCTGACAAAACTCTTGTCGTGGATCTCAGAGCAACAAATAATAACTGGACTTCTAGTTGATGATGTGTAAAAGTGTCAGATGGTGGATTTCTCTGCTGAATCATCTGCTGATCTGCATCAATCATCACCAATACTGCAGAAGACCTACTGGAACCAGCATGGACCAAGACTCTCACAGAAATCAGTCAAGTTTGGTGAAGGAGACATCATGGTTTGGGGTCATTCAGTATGGGGGCGTGCGAGAGATCTGCAACATCAACAGCCTGAGGTATCAAGACATCTGTGCTGCCCATTACATTACAAACCACAGGAGAGGGACAATTCTCCAGCAGGATAGTGCTCCTTCTCATACTTCAGCCTCCACATCAAAGCTCCTGAACGCAGAGAAGGTCAAGATTGGCCAGCCCAGTCACCAGACATGAATATTATTGAGCATGTCTGGAGTAAGATGAAGGAGGAGACGTTGAAGATGGACTCTAGGAGTCCTGCAAGGCTTTCTTCTTCATTCCAGATGACTTTATTAATCAGTGATTTGAGTCATGTCAGAGATGTATGGATGCAGTCCTCCAAGCTCATGATGGAGTCAGACACAATATTCATTCTGTCTCCACTGCAGCAGGACTTTATATTCTATACTGGACATTATTTCTGTTCAGTGATGACACTTTAGTCTGAGCAGATTCAGACCGCACTGTCCTCATCAAATCAGTCAACATCAAGACATGATCAGATTTATTGAGCTCAAATCAGCAAAATCTAGAGGTCTTTGCCTTTCATAGAGACACTTCTGACACCAAATGATCAACTAGAAGTCCAGTTATTATTTGTTCTTTCTATAGGCGACAAGACTTTTGTCAGCAATGCAGCAAGTTGCCTTCCAATTTTAGGTTGAGTCAACTATTATTTAGACAGTGTAGATGCTCAAACCATATATTGTGCAGTCCTACTTTCTATGAACTTTTCGTCCCCATATAAGTTGACTCAACATCTTACCCAATCGGCATTCGCTCTATGACCCAGTGGGTTGTTTAGGAAAACTCACCCTGCTGTTACCCTTGGCAACCATCTGTCCGTCATCACTGCCGGTTGTTGACGATCTGATAGCCTGCGTGACGACGTGGAAGATTTTTGCACCTGTTGTTGGATATTACTGGACCACAGAGGTGACAATGTGGAGGATTTGTCTGGAAGGCAGAGGGTCACGATAAATATAGCAGAGAGAGAGAGAACATTGATGTTGATTGCTAAATGCGTTTTTGTTATTTTACTATTGCCATTTACTGTGTTTACTGTCTTTTTATATGTGTATACACATATGCACACAGCTGAGGACACAATGGTTCACTCGCATGTGAATTGTTTTTTCTTTTTCAAGTATTTCCTCTAATATTTGTCTTATTTGTTTTATTTTGGGTAGAATAAAAGCCGTTTTTAATAGTTTTAAAGTCATTTTAAGGTCAATATTATTAGCCCCCTTCAGCAATATTTGTGTTGGATTGTCTCCAGAACAAACCACTGTTATACAATGACTTGCCTAATTAACCTAACTTTACCCTAATTACCCTAACTTTACCCTAAATCAGGGCTGATTAGTTAATTTGTCATGGGGGCCGGTTCTATAAAAGCATCCCAAACGAAGGGCCGGAGAGATATGACTTGCAATATGAGTGAGGACACAACTGCATAAAAGAGCCAATATGCTGTATTTGTGCTCATAAAGACACCCACGTTGGCTTTTTCTACATTAAAATGTTAATCTAGTGCATTTTGAAACAACCTAATATCACTGCATTGTCCAATTGACTTTTACATTTTTTTACAAACATTAAAAATATTGTATTTCAGAGCAGAACAGAAGCAGTGCATTGCTTCAGTAGGCTTCTTCTACATTCAGACACATTCGTGTGTTGTGTTATGAACTGCATAACAATTAGGGATGCAACAGTTATGGATTTTGGTTGTACGATTATAGTCTGAAGAATAATCCACGGTTATCTAAATAACCTAGTGAAGCCTTTAAATGTCTCTTTAAGCTGTACAGAAGTGTCTTGAAGAATATCTAGTCAAATATTATTTACTGTCATCATGGCAAAAAGAAAATAAATCAGTTATTAGAGATGAGTTATTAACACTATTATGATTAGAAATGTGCTGAAGAAATCTGCTCTCTGTTAAACAGACATTGAGGAAAAAATAAACAGGCGGGTGAATAATTCTCACTTCAACTGTGTGTGTGTGTGTGTGTGTGTGTGTGTGTGTGTATAAATATATATATATATATATATATATATATATATATATATATATATATATATATATATATATATAAATATAATTTTTTTTTTTTTTATGGAAACTTTATAAATGCTTTGGTAATACTTATGTTACGCCAATAAAGTATTTTTTGAATTTGAATTTGAGAGAAAGAGAGAGAGAGCGAGAAAGTGAAACTCACTTTGTAATATCAAAGCAACTTTCATTTATATCCCAATAATCCTCTGTTAAATCTGAAGATTATTATTTGCATGTTTTCAAGTATCAGTGAGAGCAGCTACTGCCTTTACTACTCATGAATAAACAAATAAACAAACAAACAAAACATGTGGACCTTATAGAAATCTGATATATGGCCATATAAGTTATATATATATTTGAACATATGTACACACAGCATAAGGCAAAATTTATTTTAATTATGTTTTCAGCCTGTGTTGCCAATAAATTGATTTTATATATATATATATATATATATATATATATATATATATATATATATATTTATTTATTATTTTATCTTTTATAATTATTTTATATTATATAAATAATTTTATAAAACTACAACCCTAATGACCAATATATTTTGGATATATGTATATGTGTAATTTTAAAGGCTGAAATGGCATTCAAAATATATATTTAAATAATATACATTTGAATATACTGAATATATATTTAAATAATATAAAATGTGCAAATATTATGAATTGTCCTTTTAATATCATCACTCATTTTCTTTTTAGCTTAGTCCCTTTATTCATCTGGAGTCGCCACAGCGGAATGTACTGCCAACTTATCCAGCATTTGTTTTACGCAGCGGAGGTCCTTCCAGCTGCAACCCATCTCTGGGAAACATCCACACACACACATTTACATTCATACACTACAGTCAATTTTAGCCTACCCAATTCACCTGTACCGCATGTGTTTGGACTGTGGGGGAAACCGGAGCACCCAGAGGAAACCCACACAAACGCAGGGAGAACATGCAAACTCCACACAGAAACGCCAACTAAACCAGCTCGAACCAGCAACCTTCTTGCTGTGGGGCGACAGCACTAACTACTGCGCCACCGTATCACCTATTCATTTACATAAAATATAATAACATTCTTTAATTCTGTTCATATATATATATATATATATAGCTTATGGAAAAATAAAAAGTCTACGGTTTCATTTTAGGCTTTATCATTTATATCATGTTATATCATGTAATACATTGTTTATGGAAATATTTTTTCACATTTTTGCATTATAGGGTTGCATATGTATATATTCGCAATTTCAATGGCTTTAAAAATAAATTATTAGATATTATATAAATGAATATACATAACATAATACAAAGTCTAAAATAATAAAATGCATCATATAAAATTATAACACTAACTCAAAGTCATATATAACCCTGAACCTGATCATAATGGCCATTTCAGCTATTTCTAAATGATGTTGTACACATATTTGCATTTATTCATATTTGTAAAACCCGAAGATGAACTTGTATGTCAAATATGTGATTTGCATATACCAGATATACTGTATCTATATGGGTAAATGCAACTTATTTAGGAGTATACATCATTTTTGCATACATTTGTATTGTAAATTTGAAAAACGTGTTCCTGTAAATAAAATTGTAGCTTTAGTTTTGTGGTGACCGGTTGTATTATCTTGATAAACTGTACATTTCTGACTGTGCATTAAAATTATAATGGTATTTGACTATATTTACCAGGATAAACAACTCCTGCAATCTTTTCAGCATTCCTAAAATCTAGATTTCAGTAAAAGCATGACTGTTGATTTGGTCTATTTTCTTGCATAGTAGTTGTTTGTTAGGGTTTTGCAATATGATGATGTATATTGTATGGACAAAATTAAAAGTTTTATATCATGCTCTATTGTTTATTTCTTGGCGTCACAAGTTACATTGTTTAAAGTAATGTATATGTCAGCATAATTTTACAATCCACTACAGGGATGCAGACAGAAACATCACTAACAGCATCGTGAGAAATTCTCAATCTTCAAACTATAATGTTTACATTTAGCGTTTTATTTAGTCATATTTTTAGGTTGGACCTTTAATTATTAGTTATTAAAAAGTGTTTTACATTTAATTCATATTTATTTTATATTTCTACATGTTTAATAAAATATTTGCCCTAATGTTCT